TTTTGTCATCAGGTTCCCTGATGTGGCAAGTTACAGCCAATCCCGGGGGCCAGCTCAGCAGCACAGGGTGAAGGGGACCAGCTGCGTCCAGAAACAGCCCCCCACTCGGTCCCAATCTCAGATGAGTCGTTAGTCTGCAGCCAAACCACTGAGAGCAGCCCAGGATTCCGGAGCCTTTCTGTGACAACTGGGAGCTGCAGGGTGACGCGGGGCCTCGGGAGGAAGCGGCTCCAGTGACATGCGGCAGCATCCTTGCTGCCCGGGCACTGAGCACTCTGCTCACCAGCTTCTACCTGTGGGTCTCAGATGCTGGACCAGGCGCCCAGTGGGAAATGCCTATGACGCAGCAGCTACGCCCAGACCCTCTGTCCCAAGGCCACAGCCCGACTGACAGCTCCAAGGACAAAGGCTGGGCCTGAGCCAGCGGGAGGGCAGGTTGGGATGGGGACATGACAACAATGGCAGTGACACGTGAGCACTGCCAAGACAAAGACCAACCGGAGTTAACGTCACAGAGCCTTGGTCATTTAAATACCAATCCACTGAAGTGGATGTATTTCCTAGTTCCAGTGTTACTGTGAACCAAACATCTTTTCTGCCTCTACACATTGGGGGTTTCCAAAGCACCAGCCTCTCTTCCGGGTACAAACACACCCTCCGCAGGGAGGAGGGCAAAGGTGGGGGCCTGTGGGGACCCCGGGGTCACTCGGCCCGGCGGGGCCCACTTGAGTGTCCTTCCAAGCAGCCTCATGGAAGGTGTGTTCAGGGACACGCTCGTCCAACACTTAGGGGACACGAGAGGGTCTCTGCAGAGGGAGGAGGGGACTTACAGACCAGCCCACCAAGTCACACGGCCCGGGTCTCAGCTTCGATTTTCTGCTCCCCGTGTAAGCTCTCTGGGTCCTGGAGCTGGGCCACACTCTGGCGGATGGCGATCTCAGGGCCGCCGCCATACAGGTTGTGCAGGTAGGCCCAGGTCTCCTCTGAAATCTGCCCATAGTCAGCACCTGCAGGGCCCGAGAGGCCGCTGGTCGGGGCTGGGTCACCCCTGCCCCCTCACGGCCTCGTCCCATCGAGGAAACCATGGCCTTGGCAGTGGGGTCTCCGGGAGGGCCGGGTCCCCAAGGAGAGGGAGGGCAACCCCAGGCTTCTGTGCAAAGCTGTCAAACGGAAACCTCAGGATTTCCCAGTACAGCATCCATTCTCCAAGGACCCCACTGGGGCTCACACGAAGGGTGGGCAGGGGAGGCAGGCAGAAGGCAGACGGGCCTTGAGGACACACACACACAGGCCATGCGCCTCGGCCGTCCGCTTAGGCCCTGGGCCTGGACTCCGGTGGACAGCTCAGCCTGACTCAGGCAGCAAGGGGGCTCCTGGAAGGGCTGTGACTGGCAGCCAGGGGGGCAGAGGGGAACCTGGCTGGCCTCGGAGGCCGGGGCTGCAGCCGGTGAGACTCACCCTGCTTCAGCTGGATGTGGCCGCTTCCTTTGACCTGCGCGATCCTGCTGTTGTCAATGGGCCCAGGGGGTTCTGGAACAGACGCGGCGCGGGCTCAGCACCTCTGCCCAGCAGGAAGAAACCCCAGTCCCAGCCTCCGCCATGGCCCTCGACCCGACAGAGAAGAGCCAATGTCAAGGTGTGACCCCAACACCTGTGATCCCGAAGAGGCTGTCCTGGGCCTAGGGGGTCAGTGTCAAGTCCTTATGGGGTGAGGATCTTGGGGCACCAAATGGGGGCACCAAATGCCCATCTACAGAAGTCTGAGAGCCCGAAGGGCCTCACAGTGTCCCTGGACCCGGCAGAGGGAATTCTGAGACTCACACCCTCATCCCTGACCCTAGCGTGTAGGGGAAGGGGGCCAGTGCAGGGGGACATTGCCCTAATCTCTGATGGCAGCTGCCACTCGCTGAGCACCCTTCCTGTGTGCCCCAATAGTTCCTGTAATCCTCGACAGCCGTGTGAGATGAGAACTGCTTAGGGACGGGAAGTAACTGACCAGTTCAGAGCTGGCAGGAGGTAAAGCCAGGGCCCCAGGTGGGGCTGTGACTCTGGAGCAGGGTTCTCGAGTACAGCCATGGCCAACTGCCCCCACAAACACCAGAGAGGCCGCGGGGTGTCCCTTGCAGCCTCGTTGCCCAGCAGGGGCTGGATGGCAGTGAGGCACCGACCTGTTTCGGCGGGTGCTTCCATTCTGGAAAGCAAATGGCCAGTGCACAGAACCTGCTGGCTCTGCCAACCCCGCGAGGCCCTAGGCCCTGGTCTGGGACCCCGCGTGTGGGGCTGGCGGGTGGTGAGGGTGGCCCCATGCGGGCCAGGGCTGGCGCTCTGCTATTCCTTGCCAGACTGGGGGGGACTCTGGGAGCTGCCTTGTGAGGAGCCTCTTTCCACCTCAGTCAATCAAGGAGTCAGAGGACACAGTGTCTTAGTCCTTTCCTAAGAGTCTGAAGCCATCTGTCAACTAAAATCTATTATTTAGGGCAAGAGAATCCCCAGGGAAAAAGGCCCGGCAGGAGGGGACAGCAGCCTCCTCTGGGCATCAGCCGGGAGAACGGGAGGGAAAGGCCGAGCGAGCTGCTCTGGGCCTGCTACAGCAGGAAGGTCTGGCCCGGCTGGGGACAGCTGGAAGGGCGCCTAGTTCTCTGCTCACCCTGGGAGGGCAGTCACCTGAAGGATGGCACCAAACACCTGCTGGGCAGACACAGACCCTGGGCACCCCGCTGGGGCGCAGGCCTCTGCCTCCTGGAACACACCCAGCAGATCGGAAGCCAGCAAGTCCCTCCCGGTGGGGGAGTGCCAGGCGCGGTGCCCAGCCCCTGCCCGACTCACCGTTGTCCTTCCCCTTGACAAAGGCCTCCCACTCCCGGAACCACTGCATACTGATGCAGTAGATGACGCCAGGCGACTCCTCGGCCTGGAACGCCTTGTTCAGCTGGGGGGGGGGGGGGTGGGGTGGGGGTGGAGGGGGAGCAAAAGGAAGGGTCAGCGTAAATGTCCCAACACCCGCCAATCCTCACCCCCACTCTTACGCATCACTAGATACTCAAGGTAGTCCGTTCAGAACTTCCAGACAAGTTCAAAGAACACGAACGTCTCCCACGACCCACCATTCACTCCCACGGCTGCCACTAACATTTTAGTGAATCTGTTCCATAGTTTCCTAAAAGCTCAATTGAGATCACACTGTCAGTGCTGTTTTTCCTCACTTCATAGAACTGACTCACTCACGAACTGCTCTGACCGGAAGTGTTTCAATGGCCAGAGCACCACGGCCTATGGCGTCTTCTACCCCACCCTCTACTGTTGAATGGCAGATGGTCCCGGAGTCCCCTGGTCTGAGCGGCACCATGGAGGGGTGACCTCCGGACCTCAGTCCTCACACACACACATCTGTGTCCATTGCAGAAGTCTGTCTCCTAAATGGATCGTATCGGGTCCTGTTTTGCAATTTGCTTTTTTCATTGACTCCATGTCAATTTGTAGAACCCAGTGGTTCTCAACAGGGAGGACTCTGCCCCCCGGGGGGTACCTGCCAGTGTCGGGAGGTGATTTTGGTTGTCACTGGCATCGAGCAGATAGAGGCCAGGGATGCTGCTAAGCCTCCCACAACATCCTGGACAGCACCCACAATAAGGGGCCATCCAGCCCCAAACAGCACTGCCCTGTCCCTTTAACTGCTGCTTAACAGTACGCCAGGCAGGTGGACCTAAACTTACTAAACCCAACCCCTTCTGCCAGCAAAACTCTTAAAAGTCTAGTCAGACCTCTGGCCACTCTGATCTACCACAGAACACATCCTCCGAACAGAACCTGACTGCACACAGCTCTTCTGTCCTCAAGTCCCCAGGTGTCCCCAGCAGAGGCTGGAGGCCCAGCTCCCCCACGCTACCCCCACCTGCACGCACCTTAATGAAGGTGTCTATCTCAACCCGTCTGCGCTTGGCCAGTGTCTCGATCTCCACCTGGCAGATGGAGCACACGTACAGATGGTTCACGGCAGGGCCACCCCCAAACCTGCACCCAGGGTGGGGGGAACAGAGAGAGAGAGAAAGAGACACACACGCAAGCCCTGAGGGGCGGGTCCTGGCGGGACCGGCAGTGGAACTTGGCCAGGCCTCCTAGTCCGTCTGGGAAGGCCCACCCATCAGGCCCCCACTGGGCTTCCCTCGGCACCCTGGGCACGGCCTGTTGACTTGTCTGTCTTCCTCACTAGACCAGCAGGGCACCTGCACACCAGCACGCCCACAGTGCCCAACAGAGCGCCTGACCCTGGGCCGGTGCATCCCAGTATCTGCTTAATGGCCTAAGGACAGCTTCACGTTCCCACTTCCTCTCCTGACCACTGGGTCACAGCAGTGGTGGTCGAGAGCCCACCCGGCCAGACCCTGAGGGCGACAGCAAAGGGAGGCTGCGGGTCCTTCTGCAGGTAGGGGGGTGATCCCACGGGACTTGGGGTGCATCTCCCTATGGGTCGGGACTCTGACCCGCCACCAGCTCTGAGCCTGGCCTGCACATGGATGGGGCAAAGCCAGTTCAACACAAGGCCAGGGCAGACACAACTCCTTGGCCTCTCCTTCCCATCCGTCTGACCACTCCTGGCTGGGTGGCACATCCTGCCTGCCTAGCTGCAGAGCGACCCGGGCCTGGGCAGGTCCTCAACGAGAGAGCCACACGGTCCTGGTCTTGACAGACTCGAACGTGGAAGGCCCCATGCAACATAAGCACAAGGCCACCTGAGCCCGACTCAGGGTGAGGGGGAGACGCCGGCCAGCCTGCCCTGCAGCCAGCACCCCCAGGGCCATCTGTGAGAGACCAACATGCTCGCTTTTGCTGGAGCCAGTTCTCTGCCCCTTGGGAATGGAAGGATCTACCCGGATGCCCAAAATGACGTGCGTCTTTTTCACTGCAGACAGGAGGTCCCTACCGCGGCTTCCGTGCTGTCTGCTGCCAAAGTGGAAGGCAGCGCGGGGGGGCATGGTGGCAGTCCTTCCCCTGCCTGTCTTTCCTGCCCAGCTGAGTGCTGACCTGGACAGGGGCAGGCTGGCCTCCCGGAAGAGGCTGGCTCTGGTACCTTACCTGTTGTAAAGGTGCTCCCAGACGTTCTGGGGCAGGATCACCACCAGGTCATCGATGTAATGGTACTTGTTGGGCGGGATGCCTGCGGAGGAAGGTGCATGGAAGGGGTGGGGGCTCGGCTCACTTGCCCCACACACCGACCACCGAGAAGGCGCCCTCACCTCCGTGGGAGCAGAGGAAGGTGTGGTTGGTGATGGGCCCTGGCTCAGCGAAGGTGTTGAACTTGTTGAGCCACTCTCGGGACACGTAGAACCGCAGCAGGCTGGGCTCCCGCATGGCAGCCAGGGACACCACCTGCTGCCGCTCCCGCACAGCCTCCTCGCTGCTCTTCCTGGGCAGGGGTGAGGCAGGGGAGACGGAGGGGCAGCTGTGCTGGGGCTCCGGCCACACCCTGTCCAGGGGTGCCTTCAGAGCCACCCTCACCTCCCAAAGGCCCAAACCCAACTTCTCGGATTTCCAGCAGTCAGAGGGCTTTCTTAAAAACTGAAATCCTTCCCCCCAAGCCTGAAAACCTCCCGACTCCAGCACCCCACACGCACCCAGAGTCAAGCCCTGGGGAGTAGGGTGTCCAGGCCCACAGGTCACAGACACAGGCCGCCGCGCCCAATGCCGCCCAGGGTGCACACCTGTAGAAGAGGACATAGGCCTCCACGCTCTGCACCACCGTCTCGTGCACCTCAGTGACATACTGGTCATCGAACTCATACCACTGCCCGTTGATCACGTTTTGGCAGTAGGCGATGTAGTGGCCACCTGCGACGGGAGAGGCAGGCTGGTTACAGATGCCCCAGGGGACAGAGATAGGCCGGGGCCGGGGTGGGAGTGGGGGTGGCCAGACTCACTGCCTGCAGTGCCGTGGTGGCAGATGACTGAGAGGAGGTCGTAGGTAGTGATCTGGGACGTGCACTCCTTGGCGAGGAAGGGGCGCAGGTCAAGCCCCTCGAGGGGGAAGGAGACGTGGCTGCTGATTTTGAAGGAATACATCACCTCATGCCGAAAGCGCTTCAGGTGAATGCACAGGATCTGGGGGAGGGGAGCGTGGGTCACTCCAGGGCTGACCAGGGCCCTGTGATCCCGGTAACTTGACAGGGGACTCAAGGCAGGACTTCAGGACACCCATTACACCACTGTTTGACCCACTCAGGTCTTGTCATCCCTGCTGATGGGTCCCACCCACTGACTCCGTTTGAACACAAGGAACAACTCTGCATGGGAGCCGGGAGGGGCTCCCTTAGGTCCCACGATACAGGCAGATGGGACAGTGGGGCTGAGCTGCATGACAGGATCGGCTGCCCGAGAGCTGGGCTGGTCTGTACAGGAAGCTGACTGCCACTGGCCTGTCGAGTTCACCACCTGAAGAACTCTGACGACCAGTTCTGTTGGCACAGACTCGGAGGGGACTTCTCCACAGAGGCGTCCGTAACCTGCTCAGCACTGTCCCAGGCACCGCATGTTGGGACACGTTCCTCTCTGCTCCAGCCCCACGGGCCCTCCTGGGCTCAGCCAAGCCGGTTCCTGCTTCGGGGTTTTACCCACTGTCCCTTCCTCGCTCCCCACCACGAGGCTGACACCAGCCCACATCCTCAGGGCTCACTCAGAAGCCACTGCCTCAGAAAAGCCTTCCCTGACACCCTGTGGCCCGGTCCCGCCCCTCACAGCTGCCTGTTGTAGGCGGTAGCCTCAGCGCCCCCTCTGCCTGCGTCATGGTGATGAGAGAGAGACAGCCAAGTTACAAACTGAAAAATGAGTCCTCTGCATCTGCCAGACCCTCCGAGGAGGTCCCTCAGCCCACGCAGTAGCATCTCCATGGGCCTCTTTAGCTCGGAAGCTCCCGAGTCAGGGAGGGGTCAGGCTTTCCCCGGCACGCCACCACAAGTCAGCGTGGAGAGGCCCTGGAAGGCTGAGGTAGTGGGGGCTGCTCCGCTCACCTCAGGCAACCGCAGGACCTTGCAGTACTTCACCCCGTTCCGCAGCCTGGGAGGAGAGAGCCCGCGAGAGATGGTGAGTGCTCCAGTGTGGCAGCTGAGGGGCCAGATGAGCTCCCCTCCCACCCTGGTTGCCTCTGTGAGGTCAGGGCCGAACTCTCCGGGGGAAACGTATGGGAAGTGTGTGGAACATAGACGGACCACAGAGGGTGGGGATGGGAAACGAAGGAGGGGCCCCCAGAATGCACACACTTACTTTTTACACCGCTCACAGCTGTACATGTTGTCACCTAGGCAGTAACACAGACACGAAGGTTAGCAGGGATGGGAAATGGGGAGCAGAAATGCACATAACGGTTTGTACTTAAGAAATCAAACCACAATATTCTGCCTGCAAGAGACTTCTTTTAGTTTAAAGGACACACATAGGCTGAAAGCGAAGGGATGGAGAAAGAGATTACGTGCAAGTGTTTACCAAAAGAGAGCAGGGGTGGCTACACTTATGTCAGATAAAACAGACTTTCAGTCAAAAGCCGTTACGAGAGACAAAGAGGGTCACTGTGCGGTGATAAAGGGGTCAATTAATCAAGAGGATGTAACCGTTGTAAATACATACGCACCCAACACTGGAGTCCCTAACTATTTAAAACAAATATTAACACAACTGAAGGGAGAATTAGACAGCAATACATTAATAGTAGGGGGTTTCAATACTGCACTTTCAACACTGGATAGATAGCCAGACAGGAAATCAATCAGGGAACAGCAGACAGGAGTAACACTACAGATCAAATAGCCACCAGAGGCATACACAGAACATTCCACCCAGCAGCACCAGAACACACATTCTGCATGGAGCCCTGTCTGGAACACATCACACACTGGGCCACAAAGAAAGCCTTAACAAATTTAAGAGGACTGAAATCATATCTAGTATCTCTTCCAACCACAATGGTATGAAGCTAGAACCAATGATAAAAGGAAAACTGAAAAATTCACAAATATGTGGCAGTTAAACAACACATCCTTGAACAATTGATGGGTCAAAGGAATCAAAAGGGAAATGAAAACTTATCCTGGGGCCAGGTGAGTGGCGCGATGGTTAAGAACTGGCTTGGGACGCCAGAGGGCCCCGGTTCAGATCCCACATATGAGGGCCAGTGACACTGCCCTCCACAGCTAAGATGCTGAACAACAGCTCAACCTGGAGCTGGGCTGCTGTGAGTCACCAGCGACAGCGTTGGCTGCAGCCCCTGCTGCAGTGGGTTGCCATGGGCTACCGTGTGCCGCCAGCAGCCAGCGTGAGCGGCCATCCAGAAGCCAGTGACTGATCTGCCTCACCTGGGAAGAGCGCAATGATGGTGCCAACTTGGGCCAGTGAAGCAACGTCCTCCACAACTAGACTGAAGAACAAAAGGGCAGCAACTTGTCTGTTCCCCTTCCCCAATTCCCCAGCGCTGTTCCCATCCCCCAACTCCCCAATAAAAATCTTTAAAAAAAATTTAAAAATTATCCTGAAACAAACAAAAATAAAATCACAACATACCAGCACTTATGGGATTCAACAAAAGCAGTAGTAAGAGGGAATTTTATAGGAATAAATGCCTACATTAAGAAAAAAGAAAGATCTCAAACAACTTGATTTTACACCTCAAGGAATTAGAAAAAGAATAATAAACTAAGCCCAAAGCTAGAAGAAGGAAGGAAATAATAAAGATTAGAGCAAAAGTGAATAAAACACTAGCAAAACAATAGAAAAAATCAATAAAACTAAGAGCTGTTTTTTTTGAAAAGATAAACAAAATTGAGAAACTTTTAGCTAAATTCACCAAGTAAAAAAAAGAGAGGACTCAAAGAAACAAAATCATAAGTGAAAGAGGAGACATTACAACTTACACCACAGATACAAAGGATCATAAGAGGCTACTACAACCAATTATATACCAACAAATTGGATGACCTAGAATAAACTGATAAATTCCTAGAAATATACAACCTACCAATGCTGAATTGAATCATAAAGAAATAAAAATCTGAACCAATCAATAATGACTAAATTTGAAGGAGTAATAAAAAACTTCCCAACAAAGAAAAGCCCAGGAGGTGTCACTGGTGAATTCTACCAAACATTTAAAGAATTAATGCCAATCCTTCTCAAACTCTTCCAAAAAACTAAAGAGGAGGGAACACTTTGCAAACTCATTTTATGAGGGCAGCATTACCCTGATACCAAAGCCATATAAAGGACACCAAAAGAAAACTACAGGCTGATATCCCTGTGAATACAGATGGAAAAATCCCAACAAAATTCTAGCAAACTAAATTCAACAGCACATTAAAAGGATCACACACCACAATCAGGTGCGATTTACCCCTGGGATGCAAGGATGGTTCAACAGATACAAATAATAAACGTGATACACCACATTAATAGAATGAAGGATAAAAATCATATGATCCTCTCGATAAATGCAGAAAAGCCACCTGACAAATTTCAACACCCATCTTTTCATGGTAGAGATCTCAATTGGGTGTCCAGGGAACATATCTCAACATAACACAGGAGATATATGACAAGCCCATAGCTAACTCCACAGTGAAAACAAGAAAGCTTTTCCTTTAACTTCAGGAACAAGAGGAGGTGCCCACACTCACCATCCCTATTCATCATAGTACTGGAAGTCCAGCCCGACTCAACAGACAAACAGGAAAAGGACAGGAATGGGAAATTTCAAAATAGGAAACACTTAACAGCCAAAAGTAAGTGTATTGGCTTTTTGTAAGCCAATATATTTACAAAAAAAAAAAAATGTTCAAGCTCATCAATAATCAAAGAAATGCAAAATTAAAGCACGGTATCATCTTTGTCCACTGAATTGGTAAGAAAAGAAAAGCAGGTGAACCCCTAAGACTACAACGTGGTGGGCTGGGAGAACACGCAGTCCCAAGCCCAGCCTGGCAGGCAGGGGTGGGATGCTGACAGGAAGGCCCAGAAACCTCATACTGTGGGCTGACCCAGAGACCCCACACCGGCCAGCCTGGTCCACTCACCCTTCAGCTCATCAGCAGCAAAGAAGGCAGCAAGGCAGTCTTCCAGGGTGACGACTGGCCCCCAAAACCAGCTGGGGGTACAGGATACCACAAATCTATAGAGACAGAAAGGGGGTGGTGGGAGTGCTGCCAGGGCCTGGGCAAGGGTACGACTTTGGGCTGAGGTCCGCTCCAGCCCAGAGGAAGCTTGGCCTAGTGGGTAAAATGGGCAGAGGTCTGGAGCCAGACATCTGGGACCACCAGCCAGCAGCTTGGTGTCCTTGGGAGAGTGACGTCATCTCTCTGAGTCTCGCCTTCCTCATCTGTAAAGGAGCCCTGATCACACTGGCTGTCCCCTGGGCAGAGTGCAGGTTCCTAAGATCAGGCAGGTAAAGCCGGCATCGTGGCACAGTGGGGGCTACGGAAAGCTGCCCACTGCCCTCCAGCCGCCAACCTCCTTTCTAGCTGCCACTTCGTCACTCCTGTCATTACCTGCCTTCCAATCCAAGGGCCCACCCAATCCAGGCCACCCCAAAGTGGACAGGGACACCCCCACCCCACTTGGCTGACTCCGACACATCCTGCAGCCTCGAGCTCCCTTCGGGACTGCGCCCGCATCCCTGCAAATGCCTGCACTGTGCTGTGTAAGGTGTCGCCTGCTCAGGCTGCAAGTCCAGGTCAGGGTGGTCTTGTGTCTCCAGCGGGCGGAAGGGGGCATACCGTCGGATATACTCCACGATGAAGGCGAGCCAGCCCTGGGTGGCGTAGCTGTCTCCACAGGCGCCTGGCTTGGCTGGCACGTTCTGGTAGATGGCCGAGTGGAGCTTGGCCAGGTCCTCCTTGCCAGGAATGGGCAGCGACAGGTCCTGGAATGTCTCCACTGTAGTGGACACCTGTGGGGTTAAAGGTCAACCTGGGTCGCCACCTTCCAGGGTTCCGCCCTGCCCAGACCAAGCAGAGTCAGCACCCTGAGTCCCAGCCACCGGCTGGCAGGTGTGAGGCACAGGGCAGCGGGTGGAGAACCTGTCCCCCACCCGTAACTGCAGTGAGCTCCACGGAGGCTGCTGAAGGCTGAACGTCCCTCTGCACCCCCAGGGCACTCACCCTGTCACAGGTGAGACACTGCACGAGGCTGAGGATGGAGCCGTCAAAGATGTCTGAGATGACACTGCGGTAGCGCTGCTCCTTCCGCCTCCGGCTGCCAGCACTGGGCACCTGGCCTGGGGGCACAGCACAGGACTGGGCCCAGCCCCCACCGGCCCGCCTGGACCACGGGGCGGGAGCTAGGGCTTGCTTGGCCAGGACACGGGGTCACGTGACTGAGTATGCAATTCACCTCCTGGGGCCTCAGTCATGGCTCTGTAAGATGGGGCTCCCCCACTCATGTCCCCGTGCTGTGAGGAGGGTTCAGGGACAAGCACGCGGCACAGCCCCTGGCAGCGAGTGCTCGAAAATGGCAGCCACAGGCTCGCTTTCCACTCCCAGCCCCAAGCTCCAGCTGGAGACGCCCTGCCGACCGACCGCCCCCGCGACCCGACCCTCCGAACCTTTCTTGAGCACATACGATGGCCCCATCCTCACAGGGCTCGCGCGAGGCGGGCTGCTGGCCAGCTTGGTGTGGCCCTCGTGGTGGTGGACGGGGCTGCAGGGGCGAGAGGCACTGCGCATGTGGGCCTCATTGTCTGGCTCTGGGGACAGAGAGGGGACCATGCTGGGCCAGCGCGGCCAAGCCAGCTCCAGGACCCGGTCGGAAAGAGGACCCGCCAGTACCTCCTAATGGGACCGAGGTCTGGACCCACTGTGTGTCCCCTGTCTGTGCCCACCCCACTCCAGCTTTATTACCTAAGCGAGTCTGGACCCATCTGTTAGCCGGTTTTTCTCCCGGAAGCTGGGTCTCGTGGTAGAAATGCCCCGGAGAGGTGGGAGAACCAAGCGGGCACCTGCATGTCGGTGCTTGGCACTCAACACGGCCATCTGGTACCTGGTGTCCGGCAGGGACTGGTGGATCGCGGTGACGGTGGCTGAGCCTCTGCAGGCTGGTGGTCGAGGGCGGCCATGGCGGTGTCCACATCGGCGTCCTCGTCCACTTGCTCGGAGTTTGTGCGCTGCTGGCCCCAGGAGAACTTGCGGTCCTTCATCCGCTCCTTCTCGGAGATGGCACGGCTGGCCTCTTCTGGGATCAGCAGCTCCGTCTCGGCCTGAGAGCCACCACCACCACGACCCTGCCCGTCACCCTCACCCCGGTCACTGCTTGAGTCGCAGGACAGGAACTCATCCTCAGACGGGCTCCGGTCGCCCTCCCGCTTCTCATCTGTGTCGCTCGAGTCCGAGTCCCGAGCCTCGGTCAGTGCCGCTGTGGCCGCCACCACCGGCTCCTTGAGCTCCTCGTGCAGCTGGTCCATCAGGCAGCGCAGAAACTCCTGGGTGTCCTGGAACCAGGGGCTGTGTCGGCGGGGCTCCCCATGGGGGTGGGGGGATCTGCCCCTCGCTCCCCGCTGCTTCTGCTGACGAGGACGCCGGTCATGTCTCTAGCGGGCCCTACCTGGTGCCATGGGCAGGTGCACGGTCGACCCCTCACAGTGGCCTCATGACAATTCTGTCCTAACCCCGTTCTACTGAGCACACCGAGGCTCAGAGAGGCTGAGGGCCCTCCCAGGTCACACAGCTGTAATGCTGCAGAGCAAGACCCCCAGCAGGTCCATCTGGCTCTGTAGCCCTGCTTCCAACTCGGTGTGGGAGGCAGCGGAGGCATCACATTCAGCCACTAAAGTTACCTTGCTCCCTAGAGGAGGGGACAATGGGGGCAGGAAGGGAGCCCATGGAGGGACAAAGGTGACAATGAAGGTGCGTGTGCTCGCGACAAAGGTGACAATGAAGGTGCGTGTGCTCGCGAGGGCTTGGCTTAGGTCCGCAGGGAGCAATGCCACCCGCAGGCCAGGTGGCCCGCATCCTCCACCCTGCCTCTGGCTGTCCCTGCTCTCCCAGTCCTTCTGCCAGCCCCCGTGCCAGCGCCTTCCCTTGCCGTTGGGACCTGGGGCATGACTACAGGCTCTGGAGGCGGGATCTCGCCTTCCCACAGACCTGCACATGACTCGAAGCTGCCACTTCAGGGCTCAAATTACAGCTGTGACACTTCTGTTCTGACTACTCTATGACTAGGTTACCAGCGCAGCAGGAAGTCAGGGCAGCGAGGCCTCTGGCATAGCCTGCCCACTGGTCCCTGCCAAGAGCGGCACACACAGGGGGTGCTTTAAAAGGCCTGAAGATGCTGCCGGCCTCCGACAGCTGTGGGGGCACTGGGTGTCAAGCTGGGCCACTGAATTCAAAGTCCAGTTGGGCCCCTCACAGTCCCCACCTCAGCCCCATTCCTGACCCACACGAGGCGGGCGGGCGTCATGCAGCGGCCAGCCCCAGCCATGCAGCCGAGCCTCATATCACATACGGGGCGAGGGGCCTCGCTCTCTCCATCCTAGCAAAGGGGAAGGGGGCTCTGGGTGCGTGTCCTTAGGCCAAGTGCCAAACTCGGAGATCAAAGAAATGAACCACTAGCTTATCTGGCATCGGGGGGGGGGGGGGGGGAGAACACATGTGTCCTGTGTCGGGGGCTCTGGAAGTTTCTTTTAAGAAACAGGCCGTCGACACGCCATCTACTTTTCTTTCTGGCTCATCCTCTTAACAAAAGTACTCTGTGCTCGTTGCTAAAATCTCACGCCATGTGGAAGCGTGACAGCGTCCTCCGGCTTCAGACTCAGGAACATCCTCTGCTGACGTCCAAGCGCCAGAGAAAGGGATGTTTCTGGAGTCCGGTGGATGTGAGGCAGCAGCCGAGTGGCCCTGCTCCACGGCGTCCTCACTGGGAGCCCAAGGGCCAGCGAGACCCCTCGTCAAGACTGAGGGTAGCACCGCAGGGAGGGACGGAACAGCTCGGCTAGGCCTGAATCCCCTCCCTGCCGCTATGTGCTGTGTGACCTGAAAGAGATGTAGACCCTCTCTGAGCCTCAGCTCTTTACCTGTAGCATGCGGGTGATGACAGGGCACTTTAAGAGAGTTGTGTGACTATAAACAGGGCTGTACCTATGTGGCTGGTAGTGGCCACTTAATAAACAGTGCATTTTTGCCACTGTGTGGACATTATTACTCTCCCAAAACGGTGGTGTTTGGGTAGTGCCAGGCTTCTTGGTCAGGAGCCTGGCATTCAGCTGATGGAGAATGTGGGCAGAGAAACACCCAGCAGCCCTCATCCCAGGAAGGGGTGGGAGGCAGGGTGATGGGGGCTGAAGGCATCCCTCACGTGACCACTGCTCTGTTCCTGGTCCCCACGTCCAGGCAGCACAAACAGAGACCTAGCTATGTGACAGCCCAGGGCAGGGACCTGGACCATGATTAGCTTGGCTTGCGACTGAGGTATATATGTGGCTGCACACTGCTTCGTCTTGGTCTCATGATTTTGTGCAATAGAAGACACTGGTTTCAAAGGGGTTCTCTAGATTTACAAAACTTGTAAACAAATGTTTACTTTAATAAAAGTGAAAAATTCTGCCTGTAGTTTGGAAAATGAGAAACCACATGCTGTTTTCAATGCAGTGCCGAGGCACACAGACTCTGGAGTTAGACCACCTGAGGTCAGATTTCCCCTCTGTCATGTACCAGCCATGTGACCTGGGCAAGAGACTTGGCCCTCGGAGTCTCCCCATCTGTCAAGTGGGGAGAACACCAGCAGGTTGCTAGGAGGCTCCACTGTCCTCATTTGTAAAGGACTCAGGCAGCGAGCGGACCCGCCTCACCACACTTAGGAGCTGCTGCCACTGTCCACGTGGGCCTTGGCTTCAGAGCCAGGCCTGGTGGGCAATGACCCTGGGCGGCCCCTGGGCAGCTCGGATGCCTACCTGCTGGGCATAGCCTCGGAACATCGGGTTGACCAACTTGATCCCATGGGACAGGCTGGTGGGAACCACGTAGCTTGGGCTGTAGGAAGACAGACCCATTAGTGCAGGTCGCCTGCTCTGAGCTCAGTCCCATGAGGCTGGCAGCAGCCAGCCAGTAGGGCAGGATCAGACTCAGCGAGGTGCCTACCACACCTGCGGGAGGTGCCAACCTGGCCACGAGCCCCAGGAGGCTTGCACATCTCTACAGTCAGGAGGAAAATGTCAAGTCATGGCTCACCTACACCAAGGGCTCTTGACTGGGGTGGCGGCATTTCCCGCTAGCCCATGACAAGCCTATTTTAAAACTGTTTTCATCCTAAAACATTTATTGTAGTTTTTCTGATTTCAAAAGTAATACATGTTCATTATTGAAAAATCTAAAATTTCAGAAAAGCCCAACAAAGAAACATCACCACTAAGAGCACCACCCAAAGATAACCACCATTAAGATTTCTAGATTTTTCCATGAAAATACAGACACATTTACAAAATTACATAGAGATATACACGGAGCAAACTCGGCTTCTTACACAATGGGAACTGCATTGCATCATACTGCTGTATAATCTGTTTCTACACTGAATATGTTTCTATGCCCTCATTTTAAATTATTCCCAATTTTGACTTTTTCTGGAGAAACAGGTCTAATCCAAGTTTCTGGTCTTTAAGTTCATTTCACACCGAGCTAAAGGGCCAGCCAGCACTTATGAGATTCCTTCTTATGTGCACACTTGTGGCTGTGACCTAGGAACTGGTCACGACACGTGTCTGGGCCTTGGCACACATCTGCAAAGTGGCTGCTGGCCCAGATCAATGCCAGGTTCAAATTCTAGCTCCACCTCTCATAAGCTGTGTGACCTTGAGCAAGATACTTAAATCTCTCTGAACCTCAGTTGCCCTAATTTGTAAAATAGGGCTGGCTATGAACTTCACCTCGCAGGGTAGCCGTAAGCATTACGGGGGAAGTAACGCAAGTAGGGCAAGTGCCTGATAAGGGGCTGAGCGGAAACCCACGTCCCACACACCTGCCCGAGTCAGGGGCTGTCACTCACCGTTTCCTGTGCCAGACCTCAGAGACCAGCCTCTGGTAACTCTTGCACAGGGCTGGCTTCTTGTCTGTGCGCACCAGGCCTCCACACTCCAAGAAGAACTGGGTCAGCGGAGGGCTGGGGGACCGGGGCCGTGAGCCAGGACAGGAGAGAAGAAAACAAGAGGAACATGGCATCGTTTAGAGAGCTGGGTGGAGAAGCGAAGGCTTTTTCTGTGGCAAAGTGCTTGTGGGGGGACGTACTGTAGCCCCCTGGAGCCAGAAATGCCTGCAGACTACTAGGATCCCACATGTTATGGATGAATTGTGTCCCCCCAAATATATATATTGGAGTCCTAACCCCCATACCTCAGACTGTGACAGTATTTGGAGACATGGTCTTTAAAGAGGGGATTGAGTTAAACAAGGCCATCAGGGTGGTCTCTAATCCGATATGACTGGTGTCCTTATAAAAACAGGAAAATCGGACACAAACATGCACAGAGGGAAGATGGCGTGAAAACACAGGAAAAGGGGGCCATCTATAAGCCAAACAGAGAGGCCTCTGAAGAAACCACCTTGATCTTGGACTTCCAGCCTCAGGACTGAGAGAGAATAAATGTCTGTTGTTTAAGCCACCTGGTCTGTGGTCCTGTCATGGTGGCCACAGGAAACTAACGCAGCCCCTTCCTCTCCCAGGTCAGCTGAGTTCCCCCTTTAGGGCCGGTGGGGTCAGGGGCCGGCTGTTACGTGAATGAGACAGGAGCCAGCCCCCACCCCCCCTGCCATCCCACTCTGCGGAAACCCTCCCAGCCTGAAAGCATCTCCCTCACTCCCAATTTCCTTATAGTTTTAAAACTTATCACATTACACAAGAAATAGACACTCATTGTAGAAAAACCAGAAAATACAGCTAAGTAAACAATAATAATCGACCTTAATCCTACCACGTGAAGATGGCTACTCTAGACACTTGAGGGCACATCCTTCCAGACTTTCCTGTGTGTCATATGCCCTCCCTCCCTCACACATACACACACTGAATCCCTCCAGGTGACGCACCTGTGCGCCGGGCATAGGAGGTGCCCCTGCCTCGTGGCGTTGACGGCCCCTCCTAGATAATGGCCCCACCCCTTTGTATGGGATTACACCACACACCGCTCTACAACCTCCTTTCCGCCGACCACATTCTGAACCCCGTCCCACTTCAATCGCACTCCGCCACTCCGCTGTCTCCTGCAGCGTTGTGAGGCTGGCCTCCAGTGAACTGCACTCTGCGGCCTTCCCATGGTCACGTGAACAATAAGCATCCTTGCATAGACAACTCTGTCCGCACCTCTGTTATCCCCTTAGGGTGAACTCCGATAGGAGTTTGCTGGGTCAGAGGGCACATGTTTTTAGGGGTTTTGACTTGTATCCCTATACACGTGTATTAGGGCAACACGTGTGTCACAGCCCAGGGGGCTGCTGCTGCTGCTTCCAGGCCGCCGGGGACAGCTCCTGGCCCCCGTCGTCAGGATGAGGTGACAACCTACCAATTGGACAGGGCCTGCAGGGCAGCGTTCATGTAGCAGGAGTTCCCGAGGTTCTTCATGCCCGTGAGACCTAGGAGACCAGCACACATAGGGGTGGGGAGGTGAGTGCCCTGCCCCAGCCAGGGACCCTCACAGGTCACACCCGGAGGGGAGCTGTGGCTCCGGAGCCCCAGGACCCAATCAGAGGAGGATACGGGCGGCTGCTGGTCCACCCCCGAGATCTGCCAATACGTTAATGTGGTTCCCGTTCACACAGTTACAGTCACCTGAGTGGACGAAACAGGACAACTGTGGCCTCCACACCTGCCCGGCCCGCTGTCTGCACTGTACAGGCGAGGGTCCGGTGCAGAGGGGCCAGCTGGCCCGGGGTCACATGGCCGAGACCGGGGAGGGCTCGGCTGGGTGGTCAGTACCCCCAGGGAAGCCACCACAATATGTGGGCCATCTGTCATGCCGCCCAGTGCCCAGGACACCCGGAGCTTCCCGCCCAGTGCTGAGGCCACTGTTCCAGGGGCTGTCACCTCGAGGTTTCAGGTCATCGTCCTCGGACTCAGACTCTCCTTCATCGGCCACAGCAATAGGGACAGCTTTTAGAGGGTGGTAGCGCAGCGGAGAGTCCTGCATTCAAGACCCAGAATGAGGAAAAGGGGGGAGGGTGGGGGCGAAGGCCCACGTGCCTCCTGGGGGAAGGGGACCCAGCCGCCCTGCCCTGAGCCTGCTCCGAGTCAGCCCGTCTGAGCAGAGGACAGTGTGGAAAGAGCTGGCATTGGCAGCCTCGCCCTGGGAACTTGCATCTTATTTACAATAATGAATAACTATTTATTGTATTTATTATAAAGTTGGGGAAAAAATAGAAACAAACAATAACAACATGCAATCCAACCTTCCTGAGACAACCACTGTTAACCGCCTTATGTATCTGTACAGATTTTTTTCCCCTCCTCCCTCTGTACAGATTTTTAACTAGCAATATACACACACCCCAAAAAACCGGGTATTTTATTGTTTTATAGATTTTTTTGAAAAAAATCACAAACATCTACCATGTCCGCGAATGTATTCCAGAAACACTATCAAGCACCTATTACGTCACGGTCACTGATAGATACAATGCACACACGCCGGTGCCTCCCTGGAGCGCCCACTCCGCAGGCCAATCCGACAGCTGGCTTACTGACCACCACCGGACGCTGGGCCCCCGTGCATGGGCTCCCTGAGCCCGCCACCTTCAAGAGCTGCACAGGAAACCACTACTGCCCAGGTGGCTTCCAGGCGTTTCCCATGGAGCAGGGTGCTGCACTGACGTCTCATGAGTCCCTTGGGATCCGTTTTAGATCTGGGGTTGCCAGGGGCTTTCCGTAGGCCTGGAAGCCTCTGCACTGGCCCCCCAGCCCGGGCTCACCCAAGCCCCGCATTTACACAGGCCCCCCACAGCCTGCGAGCTCCCTGGGGCAGGCCCTACTTCCAGTCACCTCTGCTTCCTCATCGCCCCACTGGGGCCTTGGCACATAGCTGGCGCTCAGCGAGCATGTGCTGACATGAGCTCCTCGAGTCACATGGGAATGGTGACCAGGAACAGATGCCGTCCGGGACCCACTTACTCGTGCTCCATTGATGCTTGGGTCACACTGTCCCACCCTCAGCACATCACCAACCAAACTGACCCTGCTGCACCTCCTTACCTGCTCGGAGAACTTGGGTGAGCAGCCTGGCAGGTGAGTCACCAGCCGCTGCTCCGGGAACACCTCCTTCTCACAGGCGTAACACCACACCCGGAAGGTGGTCAGGTTCACGGTCAGGTGGTGCTTTTTCACCTAAATGACAAGATCCAAAATGAAGGCAAGGGTACGCTGGCCTGACAGGCACCCCAAGCCTGCATCGGGGCGCCCCAGGCCTCAGGCCTCAGTAAAAGGCCCTGCCAGGACACAGGCCTGGAGCCCAGAATCGGCTCACCCTCCAGCCAGGAATGCCAAGGGCTGCCATGGGTCAAACACACACACGTGCCAAGGGCTTGCCCCTGCATTAGCTCTGGCTTTTTTGCCAGGATTATTCCCATTCTGTAGACAAGCCACTGAGGCCCAGAGCGGATAGACGGAGCTGGGAGGCAGCTGGAGTGGGGTTTGGACTCTGGGCTGACTGCTCCCGGCCACCAAGCTCACCTGCGCGTGAGTGGTGCTGTGGTCGGCAAAGGACTCTCCGCAGCCAACATAGGGGCAGGCCACCTGGGGAGAGGGGAGGAGAGTGGGTTCGGGCTGGCCAAGAGGACGGTGCCAGCAGAGTGTCCCCCATCTCCACCCACAGGGCCCACAAGGGATCAAGGTCCTGCCACCCTGCAAGAATACAGATTTACACCCCTGAAGTTCGCCCATAAAAGCTGCCCCTGCCCTGGGTTACTGCTCTCCTGTGAAAAGACCAGGTAGGGCCACAGCTAGACCTGGGCAAAGCCGAGGCCTAGCTGCTTGGCCCAGACCCTCCCCGCCTCCACGGGCCCCTTTTTCACCAGCTTCCTGCTGGGTCAGTTACTAGGACCCATATTTTGGTGGGTGAGCCTGGGTCTCACAGCCATTTTCAACTAGGAGAAGCTGAATGGGCACAGGCAGTGGGGCGTGATGCTGACCAGTGCCCCACAGGGGCCGCGTGGCCCTGGGGACCCTGCCTTTAGCCTGGAACTCCCCTATCCCAAACCTACCCATCCGCCCAGGCCCAGCTCAGATGTGTCTCCGCTGGGAGCTCTACCCCAGCAACCCGCCTGCCTCTTCACTGGATGGAGCACTGGAGCCCCTTCCCGGGGACCAGCTCTGCACGGGCTGGGGAGGGCCTTCAGAGTCGCAGAGGACCGTCATTTTCTGCATGAGGTGCCTGTATCTGTCTCTCTGGGAATTGTGGGACCACGCCCCACACTTCTTGCTGTCCCCCTGGGGGCCCTGACAGTGTCTTGCAATCTCCTTTATACTGAGCGTTAGGCCCAAAAGGATGAGGCCAGAGTCCCCTGGGGGGCCCCTGTGTCTTCTGCAAAGACAGACTTGAATGGTGATGTCTTCACCCCCTCAGGCTGTCCTTTTTGCTTCTATTTATGTTTATTTTAAAAGAAATTTTCAGCAACAATCTTTTTAGTATGATTATAAAATGCAATAAATACATAACGGTACTTGTAGAAAATTTGGAAAACACTACCAAATTGCAGAGAAAAAAATGGAAATCACCCATAATTCCACCACCCACTGACAACTGCCATGTGTTGACATATCTGCTACTCTTTTAAATAAACAATAACTATGAAAACACGATCAGATTTTCCTGGATACTGTCTAGGGGCCACACACCCTGGGAAGCCCACACAGGCATTCGTCAAATTCTACCCCAACCCAAGAGGCGGGCCTGTCGTCAGTGCTGTGGCGCCTCCTTCCCAGGTGGGAAACGACGCCCAGGCAGCTCCTAACCGCGCCAGGGCTCAGAGCCACGGGCCTGCCGCCAGGCTCACACACACATGCGTGTCGAGAACGCTCCTGCTCTGCAGGTGGGACCATCTAGTCCCGCCTTCTCCGCCCTGCTTTTCACTCTTGTCATGTTCAGTGGCTGCCAAGGCAGCCAGCCCAGGAACTCGCTGGATCTGGAACCCTTCTGGCTTGGGAACCTCGCCTGAGGCATCCCTGTCCCCCGGCTGGCAGTGCCCAGAGGGGACGGATGGTCCCAATGCAGAGTCTACCCCGCACGCCACGCCCCCAGCAGCTGCCAGGGTCCCTTACCTGGAGACAGGCCCACAGGTTCGGTCCAGTAACACCACACGACTGACAGGTTCCCTGTGTGGGGAGGTGAGAGAGCAAGAGCCACGTGAGAGCAGCCCGTGGGGGGCGCACGCGGAGCCCCGGCTGCTCCAGCCTGGAGGGGCCACACACCTGCCTCCGCTGACACACGTGCACCCTGAATGCCTCGGCTTAAGGCTTTGTTTGCCTCAGAAAGGCCCTCACCAGCCCACCCGTCTAAATTCAGTTCCCCCAGGGACACTGTACATTTCATTGTTTGAATTTTGTTTTATGTGCCTGCAAAAACATTTTCAATAAAACCATTTGAAACTTACACCCCTCAACATGCTCTCTCATCACACCTTCTACCCTTCCTTTGTGGCACTATTTATTTAAGGCTCTCTCCCCATCTAGACTCTGGGCTCTTTGAGACTGATGCGCTACCTACTGCGCTAATGAAGCACCTGACTCTGGGCTCTATGAAAGGAGTGGTCGGTTTTATCTACTCCTGTGACTTGACAGGGCCTGGTACAAATTAGGAGATCAATACATTTGTTGACCGCAGAAAACACCCAGATTACTGGGGGTCTGGGTGACAGAGTCTGCTTCTCGTCTACTGACATCTCGCCTTCTTGCTTCAACAGCAGAACACATGAATTTTGGCTGAGCACTTACTTGGCCAGCCAGCTGGAGACCGTTCCTCGGCCCCCACTGTGACCACGGAGCTCAGTTCTACTCAGTGGGACCACAGTGAAAGCGACATGTGCCACTTCTGAGCTGTGCACTACGCTTCCTCTTTCTCTTCTTTCCAGTGCCTGGAATGTGGATGTGATGGCAGGAACTGAAGCAACCACTTTGGACTTGGAGATGGAAGCCATGTGTTGAGAATGGCAAAGCTACCCTATCGGTTCTACAAAATAACTATTTCGGGCACAATTTAAGTTGTGGTAACAAAGAGACTCTAAAATACAGTGACCTAAATGAGATAGCTTACTTTTCTTCCTTGTGAGCTACCTGTCCACATGCGTGGCCCTTCTGGTTATTTTAAAACAATGTTGGCTTCATTTTGTAGATTTCTGGATGCTTAGAGGAGTGCTGAAAACACGATCTCGGAAAAGCAGGCCTGAGACCGCGCCAACGTTCCTGGTTTCCACTGCAGAAGCACTAACCCTTCCAAGAGGCTGCCACCTCCCAGACACATATTCCCATGTCTCAGGTTCCCCTATTCCCACCTCCTCTGGAGGGAAAATCCTCTTGTCTGTCTCAGTTATTCCTCTGTGCAGACGCAGAAAGAAACCCCACATTAGACATGCAAATGTGCCAGGGCCTTCCTCTGCTCCCCCTCCAGGCCACACAAAGAAGTGCAACTACATTAAAAGAAGCCACAGGTACTTGAAAGGACTGATCCCTCATACAGGCCCAGTCTACACCAGCTCAGGCCAAGGCCACCCAGGACCTGCCGGTGGTGCAGGGAGGCTGCAGGCCGGGCATTAGGTGCCTGGAAGGAAGAACAGACAGTAGGAATCTCACACAATGACCCCACTTCTGGGCATGTATCCTGGACAGGGCTCTGCCCATGTGACAATGACATTTCTACGAGGCCATTCATCGCAACATCGTTTGTTTTGTCAGGAGGTGGCAAAGAGCCCAGGTCTCTACCCACAGAGGGTCAGTTCTGGAGTCCGCATGATGAAATAAGACACAACCTCAAGACAAACAACGAGAAAGCTGTCCCTACGGACCAATGTCTAAAGGGCTCCCACTTATATTGTCATGTGAATAACACAGGTCACCAAAGTGTCTCCAGGATGCTATCTTTATGTAATAAAGGGGAAAAGGGAAAACAAGCATATTTGCATATATCTGCATAAAGAAACTTTGAAAAGATACAAAAAATACTAATGTAACTGGTTACCTGAGGGTGGGGCTGGGAGGAAGAGCAGGGGCAGGAGGGAGACTTTTTGACACTGATATTCTTTTTTTTTTTTTTAGCTGAGCCATCCTGCCACCTGTTGGCAGCTCAGCGGCTGCTCAGCTCGGGCTGGACTCGAACCGCTGTTGCTTAGAGCTCAAACCCTTGAGCGAGCTCTTAACCAACTGAGCCACTCGGCCGGCCCTTGACATTGATATTCTTATAGTCTTTCATTTTTGAACCATGGGAAAGTGTTACCTATTCAAAAAATTTTAATTTAACAAAGAAAGACGATGACACACCCTCCCTACTCAGAGAGGCCCCCTTTCTTGCCTCGGGGCTCCCAGAGGGCTCCTCAGGCCAGGTGGGTATAAAGACGCCCTCGGAGTCTCCAAGCCTGATGCCTTCCCTGTCTTGGAAAGTCTTTGCGCCCCGGCCCAACAGCTAATGACAGAGCAGCAGCGGCTCCCAGATGGCCTGGTCTAAATGATAATCGATGGCTCTCAGGGCACAGCTCCCAAATAGACGCCAGCTCTTCCATTTGCACAAAAGGATAAGCAAAGGCTGTCGGGAGCCAGCGCTTCCGCCGCTGCAGAAACGTTGGCACCCCACCAACGCAGAGGCCTGGAGTGTGGGCCACTGCCCCATGAAGTCTGACCCTTTACCTTAGATTTGAGCAGCAAGTCGTCTTTGGTCACCTCGCCTATAGAGTCAAGGTGGGGGCAAAGGTCCCTGGAGTCCCCCATCCTGGCCCAGGCTCACCTACAGGGAGACACAAGGAGTCCTAGGTTGGCGATGGCCAACAGGAGGCAGGGAGGTGAGGGGTGAAGGGCATGCCCCGGGTCTCGGTGGGCGGTTCCGAGCAGGGTGAGGAGGCAGCTGCGTAACTTCCCTCAGCCTCGCTCTGCTTGGCTAGGACCTGAGGAGGAAGGAGACACCAACCCCAGTGGGGTGCTCAGAGGGCTCACAGCGGGTGTGTGGGCCTGGTGAGGTCTGAATAAGCTCTGTGGGTGGTACCATTGCCCCTGTGTGGCTGTGATGCTCTACTACAGAAGGACAGACCAAAGGCGCGCCACAGCGGGGAACTCGGTAAGGGGTACCTGGGACCTCCCGGGACTCTTTTGGCAACTTCCTGTGAACTAGAATTATTTCAAAAGAAAATGTTTAAAAACAAATAACTGAATAAATGCTTCCGCCACCCAATATTTTAGTAGAAATCACACCCAGGAATTTGACTGCTGATTCTCTAGTTCTAAAATGTTGCCCCAAACTGTCCAAACCAACCAAAGACGTAACTGGAGCCCAGAGTGGCTTAATGAAAAGAAGGGGCTGTGTGTGCATTGGAGCGGGTGGACCCCAGGCCCCTCCTGCGAGCCACCTCTCCGCCCCAAATGGCCAGCCTGGCATTGGGAGGCCCAGACTCCCAGCCAGAACAGGCGTTACTGGTGCGGATTAGATACTAAGCACCTGACGAAGTGCTTTCCATGCATAATTTAATAGAAAACTTCCCCAGTGACTTGGGGGCAACTGTGATTAGCCCCGTTTTACGGTGTAGGTAAGGGGTTCCTTCCTGTCTCAGGCCTCAGAAGAGCTAGAGCTAAAGCTGAAACCCAAGTCCCCGCTCACGGGAAATGTAAACAATGCCAAAGTCAACTGAACTGTGTGATGCATTCCCACGTACCCATCACCTAGCTTCCACAATTCGCAATTCATGGCCACCCCGGCTTCACCTCAACCTCCCACTTCCATTTCTCTGCAGCAAGTCCCAGGTATCACATCATTTCATCTGTGTAAATTTTTCTAAAAGGATTTCAAAAGAGAAAAAAAAAAGCATAACCACGATTCTATTATTTCACCTAAAAAGAAAAACCCATACTTCCTAAGTCAGGGCCTAAGGGCTAACCTGCGTGGGAGAGGCTGTGGGCCTACCTCTGTGGACAGCGACACCCCCAGGAAGCAACCAACATCTGCATTCTCCGAGGCAGCGGGCAGGGTGGGCCACGGCGGGCAGGAGTGCGTGCAGGCCTCTGGCAGGGAACCTGGGGGAACAGACCAGTGCACTTCATGTAGTTCCGTTGTTTAAAAATCACTCTTGGGGCGGCCAAGTGGCTCAGTCAGAGCATGTGCTCTTAACAACAAGGTTGCCGGTTCGATTCCTGCATGGGATGGTGGGCTGCGTCTTACCCCCACTCCCCCCACCGCAACGGACCAGGCTTGGAGCTGAGCTGCATCCTCCACAACTATTGGGTTGTCGGAAAAGTCATGATGCACGTTTGCAACAGATGGCACTAGTTCATTTTTGGAAGTACTAGAGTCATTTGCATCTATGTTATTCCTATGTCATTTGACAGCTGACAGTTCTAGCTTCATTCTAAAAAACAATTGAGCGATTTGGTTGATTGGAGATTTTACAACAAGTTGAAGATGGAAGACCAAACTGCATTTTTGCCATATTTTACTGTTTTACTTCCATAAAGGGAAGAACGCACATCAAGCTTGTGAAAAGTTGCATAAAGTTTACGGTGACAATGTTCTACAAGAACGTCAGTGCCAACGATGGTTCACAAAATTCCGTGCTGGTGATTCTGATCTCAACGACGCTCCTCAGTCAGGGAGGCCCACTGAGGTTGATGACAACAAAATAAAGGCATTGATCGAGTCAAACCCACGTTACATGACACGAGAATTTGCAGAAACATTGAACATCCATCATTCAAGCATTCACAACCACCTGAAGAAGGTGGGATACGTAAGCAAGCTTGATATTTGGGTTCCGCATGAACTCAAAGAAGTTCATTTGATGGCATGTATAAACATCTGTAATATGCTCATTAAACATGAGGAAAATGCTCTTTTTTGTTTGTTTGTTTGTTTGTTTGTTTATTTGTTAAGCTGAGCCATCCTGCTACCCGTTGGCAGCTCAGCGGCTGCTCAGCTCGGGCTGGGAATCGAACTGCTGTTGCTCAGAGCTCAAACTCTTGAGCGAGCTCTTCACCAACTGAGCCACTCGGCCGGCCCGAAAATGCTCTTTTTGAAGCGACTGATAACTGGTGACCAGAAATGGATTGTTTACAACAATGTGGTGTGCAAATGGTCTTGGTCCCGATGTGATAACTTGCCTTAAATGACATAGAAAGCAGACATTCATCAGAGGAACGTTATGCTCTCAGTGTGGTGGGATTTTTAAGGTGTCATGTTTTTCGAGCTCCTACCAAGGAACCAAACAATCAATTCGAATGTGTACTGTTGGCCATTGGACAGTTTGAATGAATCCATCATCCAGAAACGTCCAGAGTTTGATAATTGTAAAGGAGTTGTGTTTCACCACGACAACGTGAAACCACACACACGTTTGATTACCCGTCAAAAATTATTGGCGCTTGGATGGGGTGTGTTGCCACACCCACCATACTCGCCTGACCTTGCGCCGTCAGACTTCCACTTGTTTCGCTCTCTTCAAAACTTCTTGTGTGGTATAACGTTCAATTCAGATGAGGCTGTAAATCAGCACCTTGTTCATTTTTTCACCGATAAAGACAGGTCCTTCTATGAACGAGGAATTATGAAGCTCACTGAAAGATGGCAAAAGGATATTGAACAAAACAGGCAACATATTATTGATTTTTGTTCTTTATATATATATATGACCTTTGAAAAACATAGACAAAATACGTCATGACTTTTCCGACACCCCAATAGATTGAAAGACAACAACTTGACTTGGAGCTGATGGGTCCTGGAAAAACACACTGTTTTCCTTCCCCAATAAAATCTTAAAAAAAAAAAAAAGCACTCTTAACACCGACCCTGCACTAGTCGCTGCTGGGCATTACCTTTGTGGTCTCTGAGAGCGGAGGCCTCCGAGGGTCTGTAGGAGAGGGCCACAGGGCCTCCAACTACCGCTCCCTGTGGCTGCCACAGTCCCTCTCAAGAGAAGGCTCAGCCCCTTCCGCACATGCCACTGGGGCCCTCAGATCATCCTTTGAACCTCCCAAGGGCCTTTGTGCTGCTCAGAACCCCGACCCCCAAGTGCTCAGCAACCCCGAGCTACAGGCACAACCGGGGTCATCCACATGTCGCTCGTTCCCCGCCTTCCTCAGTGGGCCACAGTCTCCCAGATGTGGGCAGTTCAAAGAGGGAGAGGCAGTTAGAGGCTAACATTTAAAATGGTCACATGACAATGACAGGGTTGAAGGTTCTAAATTCCAAGCCTCCTCACTTGAGGCCAGATTTTTAGTTTTTTCATCGTTTGCACTGAGGTCAAGTGCATTGGATGGCTGCTAGTCCCACGCTATTTTGAGCTGCAGTGTATGCGTGTTTAGTGTCTTTGGAATGTGCCCTGTCTCCCCAGCTACACGGCGAAGCCAGGCTGTAAGCCTGATGCCCAGTGCCACGCACAGTGCCCAGGACAAGGATGACAGTGATAGGCCCACTCTCAATTCACACGGGCAATCAGGCTACTTAAATTCCTGCAACTTCAGATAGAAAAAAACACAATAAAAAAATAAAAAGCCCAGTGGCTAACAACCCTATATGTACTCTCACTGTTTTACAGATGAAGAAACAGAACTGGAGCCTAAGTAACTAAGAAACATGGCCAGGGTCAGTCCTCAGCTAGTGAGTCGTGGCTGGGGACCTGATCAGATCTGTCTGCTACACAGCCTTGCTTTACATCAGAGGTCGGCAAACTTTATATATACTGTACAAAGATATACATATGTTTTAAATCTTAGCTCAAGGGCCCTACAAAATCCCCTTGGCCTACTGCCAGTTTGCTGACCTCTGTTCTAAATCTCTGTGCTCCAAAAAAAGCCCAGACCACTGGCCTTCCACATCCCACTGCACACAAATCACTGCCAGCTTAAATTAGGCAAATAGCAAAGAATAGTCAAGAAGGTTAACTTGGCTACAGATTTTTTTCTAAGTAAGTAATCAAGGGTGTGTGCACTGTAGCACTGTTTATAATGGAGGGAAACTGGATGCAATCTAAGTGAACGACAATAGGCAACTGGATAATGACAGTCACACACTGCTACACTACACAGCCATTAAAAACGATGAACAGTGACTCTTCCTATCCATGAAGTTAAATTAGATCTAAATAAACAGAGAGATATACTATGTTCATGGATTAGCACACTCAAAATTGTTGAGATGTCCATTCTCCCCAAATTGATCTTTAGAGTCAGTGCAATCTCAATCAGCATCCCAGCAGACTTTTTTGTAGAAACTGTCAAGCTGCTTCTAAAATTTATATGGAAGGCCTGCCGAGTGGCGCGTTGGTTAAGAGTTGGCTTGGGACGTCAGCTCTGAGCAGCAGGGCCCCGGTTCGGATCGTACATGAGGTCCAGTGACGCTGCACCCTCTACAGCTAAGATGGTGAACAACAGCTCAACCTGGAGCTGGGCTGCTGTGAGTCTCAACAGCATAGGCTGCAGCCCCTGCTGCAGTGGGCTGCCATGAGTTACTGTGAGTGGCTGGCAGCCAGCATGAGCTGCCGTGAGCCACTGTGAGCAGCCGTCCAATGGCTGGTGAGCGACTGCCTCACCCAGGAAGAGCACATTGATAATGCCAACACGGGCCAGTGAAGCAACATCCTCCACAACTAGACTGAAGAACAAAAGGACAGCAACTGTCTGTTCCCCTCCCCCAAGTCCCCAATAAAATCTTAATAAATAAATAAAAGAAAATTTTATATGGAAATTAAAAGACCTAAAATAGCCAAAACAATTTTCAAAATGAACAAAGTTGGAAGACTTACACCATATTACTTAAGGCTCTCTAAAAAGCTACAGCAATCAAGTTAGTGTGGCATGGGCTCAAACACAGACATATGGCTCAAAAAAAACAGAAGAGAGTCTAGAATTAGACCTGTGGTCAGTTGATTTCCAACAAAAGTACTGATATAATTCAATGGGCAAAACACAGTCTTTTCAACAATGATATCCATATGGCAAAAAAAATGAACTTTAACCCTCATCTCGTATCATACACAAAAATTCATTAGAAATGGATCACAGACTTTATGTATTGGGTCTTCGGAAAAGTCATGACGCACGTTTGCAACAGATGGCACTAGTTCATATTTGGAAGTACCAGAGTCATTCGCATCTATGTTATTGCTATGTCATTTCACAGCTGACAGTTCTAGCGTCATTCTAAAAAAAAAATTGAGCAATTAGGTTGACAAGTTGAAGATGGAAGATCAAAGAGTGCATTTTTGCCATATTTTACTGTTTTACTCCCATAAAGGGAAGAAAGTGCATCAAGCTTGTGAAAGTTGCATAAAGTTTATGGTGACAATGCTCTACAAGAACATCAGTGCCAACAATGGTTCACGAAATTCTGCGCTGGTGATTCTGATCTCAACGACGCTCCTCAGTCAGGGAGGCCTACCAAGGTTGATGACGACAAAATAAAGGCATTGATCAAGTCAAACCCACATTACACAACACGAGAGATTGCAGAAACAGTGAAGTGTTCATAACCATCTGAAGAAGCTAGGATACGTAAGCAAGCTCGATATTTGGGTTCCGCATAAATACAAAGAAGTTCATTTGACGGCGCGTATAAACATCTGCAATATGCTCATTAAACGTGAGGAAAACGATCCTTTTTTGAAGCGACCGATAACTGGTGATGAGAAGTGGATTGTTTACAACAATGTGGTGCCCAAACGGTCTTGGTCCCGACGTGATGATTAACCTCAAATGACATTGAAAGAAGACATTCATCAGAGGAAGGTTATGCTCTCAGTGTGGTGGGATTTTTAAGGTGTCGTGTTTTTCAAGCTCCTACCAAGGAACCAAACAATCAATTTGAATGTGTACTGTCAGCAACTGGACAGTTTGAATGAATCCATCATCCAGAAACGTCCAGAGCTTAATTGTAAAGGAGTTGTGTTCCATCGCAACAATGCGAGACCACACACAAGCTTGATCACCTGTCAAAAATTATTGGAGCTTGGATGGGATGTGTTGCCACACCCGCCATTCTTGCCTGACCTTGCGCTGTCAGACTTCCACTTATTTCTCTCCAA